AACGGGCCATACAACAGTGCAACAATCTCCCGCAGTCAGTCGTGGAGGCCAATTCCATTCAGTAGTACAAACAACGCTTGGAATATTGCATGCGTCCCTTGTTGTCCCTCGAAATCTGAACTCTAACAACCAGACTTATTTGTAAAAACAATGCTACTTATTGTTAGTCAATACTATGTTATTGGTGGTAATTTTATGTGTAGGTAAATATGTGTGTGACGCAACGGCATGTAATCAATAGAGTTTTCAAAGATATTGCCTATGACCCTCATCAAATAAAGAAAACAAAACACACAAAAAAATCCTCATACAAAGCATTACAAACTTCACCAACTTTCATAGGAAGCAGAAATTATCGCTGGGACAAGAACTTTACTCAACTGACTTTTCTAATTCCGCCGCGAATCCATAATCAGATAATATCGGAAACGTGTAGTTCATGCACAGAGAGTTGCATTATTTATGTGATACAGGTGCTATGCTGTTGCATACCTATTACGAGTAACGCCTCCCCCTACCGAGAATAATTGCCCGCTTCTGCGCTTACTGCTTGATGGTAGATCTGGGGATCGTGAAAGGCTGAAATTGTGCAGCGTAGTGAGATGAAACAGCCTAATCTGCGGTTGCTGGCGGAGTAGTCAACTTGACTTTAAACAGCGGTACAAAGCTCTCAGAACTCTATTCAACTAGCAGACAGCCGGCTCGGTGGAAACACGGAAAAGCATAGACAAATTTTTTATTTATGTCACCAGCTAACCTCTTTCAGAATGTTCACTGTTTCCTCATTTGGACCTGACGATTCAGTGTTCTTCAGTTCTTAATTATTTTTGCCTATGTTGAATCACGAGCAGGAAGGCTTACACCATTTTCCCTTGTGTAGGCAGACGGAATATATTCCGAAAGATGGTCAGCATTCTCTCTAACATCAGTGGGGTTATACCTTCCAGCGGAGGTCAGCCTTGTTTGCACTACGTAGGCCCTGTTTCATTTAATTTGAAAGATGTTAGATTCATAGATCAAGAAGCAGAAGTCATGTCGATCACCGGGATCATAGCTTTACTGGGGTTGACCCAATTGTGAAAGATCTCGAGGCCTTGTCTACTATGCAGGTTCAAAACCCGCCAATCGCCTCGAGCTTTTTTTTAAATTGCGTCAACTCAAACTAAGCAAATATGCCGAACCTCCTAGTGATAGTTTATTGGACAGAACTTTCGATTTTTTTCGTGGGGCCATCGTCAAAGCAAATTAGTCAA